AGCTTACTTCGCAGCATTTAGACGGAGGATTGTATCCCTTTGTTCTGGAGTGAATCGATGATCGTCCCTATTTTCAAGAAGGGATCACGCAACGACTGCGCCAACCACCGTGGGATTAGTTAAGTTTCGATAATCACAAAAGTGTTGACTTCTGTGATACTTCGCCGCCTTATTGGCAGTTACGGCTCCAGGTTGGAAGAAACCGCCTCGTGGTCAACAGATGACGTGGAAGCGAGGCATGAAGAGATGCACAGATCGATTAGGAAGAATCGGTGTCTCCCGTCTTCCAGGTTAGAGTCCGAAAGACTCAAAAACTGGTTGGCTGGAGACATTAAAGGGCATGGCGACTAACCGACAGTAGTGGCGTTCTTTTTGTCATTTCTTAACAAGGCAGAATGCTTGAAAAAAGCTATGCATGAACGCTTAGAATGTGTGCTCTGTGTGTTGAACATAGTGATTTTTTTTGCCTCCAAGTAGGCCCAATCCCTCTCCATCACATACTTTATCACTTGATATTTATACATTGTGAGCTTAGAAGCGAATGGTGAAGCGCGCTTCACTGTATCTCGCTGTACGATGATGATGATTGTTGGTGCTCTCGGCGGTTAGTTGAGACCATGCCCTCAGTGCGGTAATTCCACTCAAGGTACGCCGCCCTGTTCTGGTCTGTTCGACTTCGGAGCAAGCGCTTGCAATTTTGCGGTCAGTGTCTCCCTCTCGTATCTGGTCTCAGCATCTGTTTATCGTTCAGATGTTAATTTTATTGAAATTTATAATTTTTGTTTGAATTGTATGTACACAGGATGTGGACTATGTCTATGATATGTATTTCACTCAGTGAGATGCGTAGATTTTTATTGTATTGCAATGGTTTTTACGTACACACTGCCTGCGTTCCCAAAATGACCATAGTCGACTACCACTAGTCTTCTGTCAAGTACTGGCTCTCTTGTTTCCTCGTTATAAACTGATCCATATTCGGTCTGTATTTTGATTACTGTTACTATTGTAATTATTAGCTATATATATGTAACCAGCACCTACGATCTGTTGAATGGAAATTTCTTCGTAAAAGCCTTCTACACTTCCACTTCCTTCCTAAGGTACACATTGAGGTATGGTTGTGAAAACAGTGATTCTTAAATCACTTTTATCCTTGTGTACTGATACAAAACACTTGTTCCCACTCTGTTGATTCATCTTTTTTCACTCTTCGTTCCACTCAAATTGTATACGCGGTATCAGATCATCAAATGGTGTGAGCATGGGTTGCTGCTTATGCGCTGATCATAACTGTGATTTGGCCGCGGTGATGGAAATGGGCGCGATAGAGCTGGACAGTTTCGTCACAATCACGTTTGAAAACACAGTGAGTTTCTGTTCCAGTGAATAAGTCTGCGCACATTGTATTTGAACAGTTTTGAAAACTGAATTTTTTCTAGTATCTCCTAACAAAATCGGTACGTTTTTCATGTTTCAAGTGCCCATTTTATTTCTTATCTTCATTGTGAGTAATGCACTAACTGAAACCTAGACGTATCCCAAATTGACCACGGGTTTTACATTGTTTTTCCCGATGTATATTGATTTACCATTGATTACAATTACCATGATTAAGAAAAATTTATCGAAAACATGTTCGCTTACACTTTGGGTTTTTATCCAGTCTTACAAATATCTTTAGCCTGGAGTGAAGTTAATAGCCACCACAATCGACGAAGTTTAATTTCTTTCAAATTACAATCAGAAAAATTGGATCTTACTTTTTGTCGGTGCTTCCAAAAATATCAACTTTGGACCGTAAAACATGTTTCTTCAATTTACGACCGTGATCAACAACCAAATGTTTCCCTCACGACAAGTGTGTTCGCTTTTCGTGAATTCTTCGCATCATTAGATAAACCAACTAATGTGTTTCTGATTTTCATGTTATTTTGGTGCTTTTCTTTTCTTGGATATCTTCGTAAATGTGTTCCTATCTAATGTTCTTCTTCGTGACCATGAAATAACCCCACACTGTTCATTTCTTCTGTTTTCCGTACCTTTTCGCTTTCTTGGGTAATTCTTTGCAATAGCCATTAGGTATTGATTAGTGTCTTTGTTGTTGGATCGAATTTGAAAGCCTGCTTGTGGTTGGTGCACAGTAAACGGGTGTGTAAAAATGCCAGTATTGCTTTTTCATTTGCTGAATAACAACATGAACATGAATATATCAAAGTGTAGCCGACTTCTAAAGGATCATGATTGAATAGGGAAAAGTTCAGTAGCCTCGGTGGGGTTCATTCAGTATAAAACACTTTCGACTTTCTCTCGAATCGGAACCTAAATCATAAACCGCAAGTCATGTTAGATTTTATCAGTGACCCGCACGGAAACAGTCCCGTTTGCGCTTCAATGTGTGAAACTGTGCGTAATGCGTTAGTCGTTTTTCGAACTCTGGGGTGCACCAATTTTGTGGAAGATTGTTCTTGAAAAATTATTCAGTGTTTCGGATTGACCAGAGAGGGTTGTCGGTCGTGATGCGATTTCTTTATAAATTTATGTTTCTCGATTTGAATGGTATATTATATATAGTATTATATGCAGCATGCTCCATAATTTTGTGTAAAAAATTTCTGCAGTTTTTCCCGAACAGATCCGTTCCATTCTCTCTCTCTCTTTGCTTCCAGTTGTACCACTCACCCTATTTTGTGGCTATTGATGATCGAACTCGGTGTATTGTGATTGCTGTTCGTGGCACTCTTTCATTAGATGACACAATCGTTGACCTACTCTATGACGGAGTTCGTTTGGAAGAGATCGAAACCTTTGTTGCACGTCAGACGGGAACAACACCCACATTTGTTGGACATCGAGGCATGGTCGGGAGTGCACGTCGCTTGTACCAACGTCTATTGGCGGATGGTGTGATTGAAACTGCGCGAGCTCAACGACCAGGCTACTCGTTGGTAGTATGTGGACATAGTTTAGGTGCTGGAATCGCATCTTTCCTGACTTTGCTTCTAAGACCCATCTATCCGGAAGTGAAGGGTTATGCTTTGAGTGCTCCTTTGGGGATGATGAAGTAAGTTTCATTCTGTCTTATTCGTGCATCATCTAATTCGATCAGTTTATTTCATAAGGGTATCTGTTTCGTGAAGTCAAGTACTCATTTTGATGGCCTATTTTGTATGGGACGTTTTTACACATCCGATCAGTTATGCGTAAGCGCTTGTAAGTGCTTTCTCTATTGTTCTCCAGTTCAGGTATCCGTAATGCCATATTTAGCTCTTGATTCTTTTTTCCCGAATTGAGATTTTTTGTAGTCTAGCATTATGGTTAAGTCACGAAACAATTATTTTCTCTATGTGGGGTTGTATCTTATTGGACAATTCTCCCAGTATATGGGGAATTAGTTTAGCTCAAATCTTCATCGTATTGCGCGTTCACACCCAGAGAAAAACTGGCATCGCTCACTCAGGATCTTGTATGTTTCGATAATCCAAGTCCCAGAAATTAGGTTGCCATTTTCGATGAGCAAACTGTAGGTCTCTACGTTTATGATGCTCACTGCTGCTATCGAAAATAAACGTTGGATAGGCTTTATATTTCTCCTGAACATTCACTCAAACGTAACTTCACGTATTTCTTCTTTGGCGTCTCCCTTGTTGAATATTCCAAGGTGAACAATCCAAGTTTGAAGTTTTGCCTAATAATATTCTTGAGATAACTTTGATGTCAAGACACCGATATAGTGACGTATTTTCAGGGAATATTTAAAATTTATTTATTCCGATCCAAGCTTCGGAGTTTTGCATCTCTCTTTATGATAACTCAGCTCGTTCTGCGCATGGTTTGAGGATTGCTTGATTTGAATTCCACCACTAGTCCGTCCACACTAGATGATGTACTTTCCTTGTGAATGGTAGTGAAGGATAGAAAATAAACTTTCCTCTTCTATCCTGTGAGTTAACCATAAAGCTACACCGTAGTGGTTTGCTCATATTCCTTTATCTTAGTTTTCGCTTCCGTATCTTTTCTCTCTCGAACCAACTGTTCAATCCACCATATTGCGCATTTCATGGTAAACTTTATGCGTACGTCGTATCTTGTCAATTTTCTGTTACAGACAGTCTCTGTTGAGACTTCGACCTAAAGACTGCCACATTTTATACCTACTTGGTCCTAGTACAAGTTGTTCACCGAAATTCCTTCATATTGAATCACCTGTATGAAATTGAAGTCGATACTTTAAGCTCATCGTTCGTCACTTTTTATTTAGTCAACATTGTGCTCCGTCATCCTCTTCATCCGTCATGTACCAAACTGATCCCATTGTCAGGGTGATCCCGAACTTCAATGCAGGTTCATCAACTGGATCCTAATTCTGAGATCTTTTTATATGGTCCTATAGATTCGATCGTTTATCTCTTCTCCGCGATCAAGCAGTGCCAAACGAACAGGTTTGATAATTGGATATTCGTATTGAGAGTTAGACATATTTGGACCCTCCAGTTGACGCTATAAACCATTTCGTAATTTTTCTCTGTATTAATTTGCACCCAGAAGGATTCAAACTGAAACGTGAAATACCGATTTGATAGATCTAGTTGGTTGTGTCCACTGATTTAATATATATATATATATATATATATATATATATCTTACCAGCAACTTCAAGCAAAGTTCTTAGGAACTCATACTCTCGAGGAACACACCAATCGCTCCCTTATGAAGCGAAAGCACCAAGAACTCTCCGAAGAAGCCATGTTGTCATTCCATCGAAACGCAGACACTGAAATTGCAATACGTAACGCCACAGAGAAACTGGAATTACCTGCTGGTGATTTAGAATCACTTCAACCGGCTATGCGAGAATATCAAACGTCTACGGAAGTGAATTGTGGCAATGCTAACCGGCCACGAAAAAAAGTAAAATTTGGATGAAGCAATTTGAAAGGTCATCAAATCCGTAGTGGGCCCATTTTTGTGGATCTATAGACTACCAAAGTTCCATTAGCTTTAGATATCATTATGTTGACAAAATTATCTGCAACTAGAAACTAGCTCTAAATCTCTTCCTTCTATTCGATCTGTTCATTCCAGAAAAATAGAAACGATGCAGAAAACGCAGTTGCCTTTCTAAGTTGAAAAATGAGTAAAACTGAAACCAAAAATAAAATGCGCTATCTTTTCACGTTACTTCACTATTCACAAAAAACACCATAATATTGTCCCTAGAGGCGATGGCAAGCCACTTTACTCTCAGTCGGCCCAATACCACTCCTATTTTATGCCTTATGCGATTTGTTATTACAAGTCCTAGGCCTTGGGCTACCGATTTTTGTTGACTGTATGGTGGACCCTCTTGACTTTGGAGCATACTACATCAACTGTTCACCACTCAATAATGAGTAGTGAAAGCTTCCGTTCTCTCTTTGAATCTGCCTCCAGTTTTCCTATCTTCCCTGTACGTTTTCATCCCAATGGGTAAACAAGAGATAGCAACAAAAACTGGTGCACAAAGTGCATGGTTAGTGGTTGTACAAACTGAAGCTGGATAAAACAACACCTGACCGAATAATACTTCAAAGTTTGTTGGAGATGAAACGTTTATCATCTTCCGAACAGGCGAATATTTCGACTGTGTGACGGAGAAAAATGGATTTCATCCTTTGTGATACATTTCCATTCAAACGAGAACAATAATTTTCTAATCACGCACGTTAAGTGAGTAACCATTTTCTAGTAGTGGCTTCTGCCAAAAGCTTCCCAGCAACTGGATCGCAACCACCCGAAACGTGTGTACTGCCGTTCACCCGTGAATAGATTATACTGATCGGAGCAATCTTATCGACGCTAAGAGTAACTTCCTAAAATGGGTCGTAAGACCATTTTCCCTTATTCAAAGTTGTACATACCCGCCATTAGTGGATCGGCAAATTGAACGCGAGGTCAACAATTGCCACAGCTGTTCAATGTCAGCTGAACTACCACCTGAGGTTTAATCTCGGTCATAGTCTTTTCCAGCAATCCCCTGGTCTGTTATTCACTTTGATCTCTCGCGCTCCGTAGACGACACCTAATGCAGAAAATTATTGCCGGTTTATGTTCTAGGTATCTCGATGCATATTATAACAACACCCGAGTAGGTTATTTGCTCATTTCGGTTTTCCATAGGCCCTCGTTCCAGATAACAATTTGCGTCTTCATGGTGTTCTTTACATCGTCTGTTATTCCTCTTATGTGTTCCGGTAATCGAATGGTCAAGTAGAACGATTTGTTGACGCATTTAAATGCCCACTGGAGAATGGGGTTAGCTCTTGATGTCATATTTCTGATCGTTCAGGACATCGCGGAATCACCAACCATTCCAAACATTGACGCAAAAGATTGTTTCCGTAACAAACCGTAAGGTTTTGTAGTAGGTTCCCTAAGTAAGGGCATTTATGAAATAAATTTTTCCATGTGTCTACATGCTTGCGGATTTAATCATATTTGAAAACCAACTGAGCGGTTCCTAGTTTCATTGTATTTTCCGGTTCAAGTAAAATCTTATTGATTTTCCAGGTTTCTTTTAATCAGAATCAGTCGGTCGATTATGAGTCCTGTTGAATTCCTTTAACACTCACATGATCCGATCTACGTGGTTTTAATGACGCTTCATGAACCGATAGCTTGTATATGTTGAACTTCGGTGCTTATTTTATTCCGATATTGTTTGTCATCAACTTAAGGATTGCATTTTAATTTAATCTGGGAGAACTGAGGCCTGGTGCTATAAATGGACAGTTGTGAAATATCTTTCCCTGGTGTCTCCACCTCCGTTAATTGTCTAATTGTACAACAAACAGTGGTTACTGGTACAGTGAAAGACTGGCTTCATTTGGACACTAAGGCTTTTTTGGTATTGTACGCGAACTACCGTCACTACTACCGTGTCGCAGAAGATGTATCCTCTCATGGGATTCAGAAAATGTGCCTTTGGCTTGGAAAAACCTAACCAGGTGGTTTATAAAAGTCGCCACCTATTAGAGCCGTTGTCCAACTTGTCGAATCATCCGCCTTTTGAACTGGGTCAAACGTCCAGAGTGCTCAATATATACCGTGATGTACAATGAAACCGGTGACCACTGTCACAAACAGGAAGTCTTTCTCCGTAGAGGCTGTTTTAATCATTGGTTCGGATAGGAGCATTTTGCAAGACGCAATAAACGAATAAACGGTCACAACCGAGGATGTCCATTCCTGATTATACTGAGGCTTTTGTAGACGAGTTGCGATTTTGCGTTCGGTGATGCGGCTCTCAGACACAGTATTTAGTGACGCTGTTATACTTGGTTGACATTGTTTCATGATTTGCCATCCTTCCAACGTGCCTGAACAGATTCGACATGTAAGGGCTGCGAAGATGTGGGTTGGTAGGAGGTGCTAAAATCAGTGGGGTAGAGAAATACTTCTTATTAGCTTAGTCACATACACTCTCTCATGACCGCGAACTTTAGAAGCGTTAACAATCGCGACATTGGTTCTCTGTTTGAACCTGAAGACGTTCGCCTGTTTTCGTCTTTCGGTTAAAGTCACAAGACATTCCTACGAATTAGAAATGGGATGGGGGGATTCATTGTCCTCTAATTAGAAATTCTTTTCTGGTTCTTTTTTTTTAATACGTTCGACAAAAAAGCAAAAAAGCTATATCACGACTTGCCTGAAAAAAATTGCATTCCCCTGTGGTATAACTCAATTTCTCGCGACAAGTCACGTTTTGGTTTGAAGAACGCTTCGTTCAATTCATTCACATTATCCCACGTAGTTCATATAGGAAGTGTTCAAAGGTCTTTTGGACACTTTCCAAAAATCGTTCACACTTGGGAATTTCATATTATGACTGATTTACCATTTATTGAGATCTCTGAGGACGGTAAGTTTTCAATATGTCGATTATCAGTGTACTGAACTCGGTTGAAGCTAGTGCTCCTCAGTGTCCTTGGTTGGGTGACTGGATCGGAAGGCTTGAACTATCTTCAACGTGTCTTAGTTATTTCTAAAATAGCGCAATATGTTTTTGACTCGTTTTCTCATCTTCCTTTCTAGCGCTGAACTTGCGGAATACACAAAACCCTTCCTCGTGTCCATTGTCTACGGATTCGATGCATTTGCCCGAATGAATAAAGCGACCGTTATGGATTTCAAATGGCGCTTGATTGACGCTCTTTCCGTTTGCACCGTCCCAAAATACCGTATTCTCTCCCGAGGCGCTGAGCTTTGTCTTGGTCGCTGTTTTCTACGATGTTGTTCTCCGTGCTGTTTTCCCAAAAATTTTGCCGACCGCACTGTCGGTCGTGACACATTCCTTTTGGACCAGGAAACCCAGGATCGTTTGATCAATCCAAACCCGGAGCTTCCGCGATGGGATCCAGTGTCCGCTCGAGCCACGCCCACTGAACAAGGTGATGCCGCTGAAGTGGTGGCTTCTGGTTCTGGTAAGTTCTCGCCATTGTGTTTAAGGCGTCATTTGTTTCACCACTGCTTGATTTCGACTTCCTCTAATTGAACAACATGAACTGTGTACAATGAGGTTAATCTTTTCTATTGGTTACTCTGTGGTGTGTAGTAAAATATAATTCCTCTGCGTTCTGCCAATATTCTAATTCTCGTGATCTCTAGTGTATGCTGTTATTATGTTTTATCCATTGAATTACCACGCTCAATTTTCGCCGATGCTTTTTGCTCAGAGGGGGTTCCTTATAATGTTTCTTGGTTGGCCCGGCTAGACACTTGGTTGTCTTTTCAGTCTTCAGTTTATCACTGAATCTTCTGCCCTTATCCAGTTAAACTGCTTTGGCTCTCCCTGCTAAGACTGTTGTTCTTCGTATCAACCTCTTACCGTCACTGCTGTGTGTTACGTTATGATTACCTTCAAATTACAGCTTACTTATAGAATAAACTTTTTGTCGGATTTCTACGTGGAAGACAATATTGGTTGTCACCATGAAGTGTCTCAGTGCATCCCTCTTGTACAGTTCTTCATATTTGTTCACACTCACGTGCTGCTCACGATTCTCATTTCTACGTCTTATACGGTTGTGTTTGTTGTTTGGCAACATGATTTTCATGTGCTACTACTGTCCAGTATTTTAGACACGACTTGCTTTTCATGGTCTCAAAAATCGATTTCATATTCCTCACTTNCTTGAAATGTACTCGTTTGGATGCGGGCGCCAATACCCACACACATATCTACTGTGTGTTTTGTGCTCTTGTAAGCCAGTGATTCATCTAGTCGTGGACTATTTGTCGGATAATTAAATGGTTTGCACTGATCACTACGGTGTTCGCGAGATAGCTGAATCTTACTCCATCTGTTCGCTCGTGCATATCAACAAGATAGATGCACGTCCCGGTACACCTGGGGTTTATCTTTTCGTGCTACCATCAAATTGCTTACTCATGTAAAAACCTGAGTTAAAAGAATATTGTGATTTAACCTAGCAGTGTTTTTGCTATCGAGCACACACACACACATTCGCATACCTTTCTCAACAACAACACAATCTTCTATTGCATAACCTCTGTACTTTTGTCGGATAACCTTTTTAACGTAATTCTAATCACCATACGAAACAGCGTTTTCATTGAGAAAATACCTGATTAACGGGCTGTACGTACAGTTGGTTTTGTTTGTGGTAATACCGCATCTGGGCTGAACACGGGATTGTTATTATATTGCAGAACCAACTGAATGAACGAATGAATAACTGAACGGTGGTGATCGTCGGTCGTGTTGCTTAGGCTTAAGGGGTTTGAGGTTTTAACCCAAACGTTAGCGGGTCGAGTCCTGACAGAGGCACAAGTAGTACGTACTGCTGACGAGTCCCAAACAGGACGAAACAGCTGTCCAGTGCTCTTTGTCGGCTATCACAAACAGTTCCATCGTATTAAAACTATGAAATATATTTTTTGTGATCATTCGTTTGAAACAGATGTAGCTACAACCGCATTTGGTGAAACAATCATGTGTGAAACATGAGGAGTGATAGTTCTCAGTTTCTACAAGTCCATTGTTCATTTTATATTATTGTGTTTGACTCAGCCCGTTCTAAGTTTTACGGGCACCAGGGGCCGTGGGGTACACTCCTTGGGCATTCGTTGATTCCCCTCGTGTTAAATGCATTGGTATACAAGTCCTTTATTGATTGAATTCACAAAGTGTACACTGTCAGGATGACCACCAGTCACTAATTGCAATTTCATAACTGCTAATTTTTT